AACTATGTTTAAAATGCATTTTTGCACCTTGTTTAAAAGAGAAAGGGCATCATTTTAGGATTTGCTGCAGACAACAGTATTCCTTACAAGGATGGATTTAAAATTTATATAAAGAATAGAATCCCGAGTAAGAAAGTGGTGAGCACGATAAAGAGATGCAACCTTAGCAGATGCTAATTTTGCAATCGATTTGATATATGGTTTCCAAGAAAGATCAGAAGTAAAAGTTAATCCTAGAAGACAATCGGTACAATGACTCATCAAGTACATTACTATTCATAAATATAGGAAGATCTAGACTGTTGTGATAACGATTAGCTGAAAAAAATTAGGTTTTATATAAGTTAAAGTTCACCAGCGGCTGTGAGCCCCATACAAAGAGCAGAAGGGAAATCTTTTTTAAGCTCAAAAGCCCCCTCCAAGCAATCAGAGAGTGTTTTCTTCTGATTAAGACAAGAATAAATAGTTGTATTGTTAGCGAACAATGCCACTTTGATGTGGGAGATTGGTAAGGTAAATTTAATAAAATATAGGGCTATCAATATAACTTTGAGGAACCCCTGAAGTTATAGGAAATAAAGAAGAGTGCTGTCCGTCTTGAACAACCTTTATACTACGATTGGTAAGGAAGGATTCAATAGTCTTGAAAATGTTACCTGGTACACCGTAAGAAAAGAAGCAATGAAGAAGACCAGCATGCAAAGCATTATCAAAAGCTTTAGAAAAGTCGAGAGCAGTAACCTTAGCCCCTGCACATCTATCTAATGCTCAATAAAACCCATTAGTTATTGCTGTTATTGTTACTGTCAAAATCCAAGAAGATATTCTACATTTCCAAGTAAGATCAGAAAGTAAGTTTCAAGATGAGAGATAATTATTTTTCATTTAAAGACTCAAAAACTTTTTTTATGATAGGAAGAAGACTAATAGGACGATAGTTAGACAAGTCAGATTGTTTTCTAGAATTTTTGAAAATAAGGATAACAGATGCCTCTTTCCAGTAGGCTGAAAAACAAGACTCTGATAAGCACTTGTTAAAAAGTTTTGAAAGTATATACTAGATGTTTGCATGCAAAAAATATGCTAAAAATAAGAAACTTTGTTTTGTTTCAAAGAACTTTTAGAAAAAGTTATTCAAAACAAAAGAAAATAATTAATAAAATTAATTAAAAAGATATATTTTATTAGTTTTAAAAAATATTATAAAACATAGAATAATTGTATAGCAAAGTCATTATTTCATTTATAGCAAGCACAGCTAAGTCATTAGTTTATGCAAAAAATTTTGTTGTTTTTTGGCTTTTTTTAATAAATATTTAGTAATATTTCTGCTTCTTCTGTAAAATACACTAAATCTAAATATTAGAAATATCAGATAATAGTTTGTGAGGGGAATACTCAAATATTCACTATAATACTTCGGGTGCACTAACAAAACAATAAAGAAGTATTTAATTCATTATTTATTTATCAAAATGGAGTAGAAATACAAATGATGAATGTTTTTACCAAATCACAACATTTATTTGTTTTATTTATGTTAATTAAATTTTTTTAAATTTAAGTTTTTAAAATTAACCATTAAGGTTGTTTTAAAAGTTGTTTGCAATTTAAATTAAAATAGATCATAACAATAAACGTATATTAGGGCTGCATGGGATTCTATCTCCAACTCCAGCCAATTTTAAAAAATCCGGCTTTAGCAAAAAGTAAGGAAATCCGGCAATGTTTGAGCCGGATAATTAACTTTTGGTCAGGTATTTATTACATCTTTTTTTGTCCGTGCTTACATATATACTCAAGTGATAACACTTTATTTATACAAATCAATGTAATTCTATATTCTATGAACTCCATGTTTGTAATGGTATCCATGTTTGTAATGTGTTCACATTTCTTTACAGTTTATTTAGCTAAGCCTAATTGCAAACAACAACTCAACAAAAAATTCTGAAGAGAAGACACAATATTCTGAAGTGAAGATACGCAAAAGAGTCTGAAGTGAAAACACAAATGTGTTTAAATATACATTTGATAAAGTTACAGTGCAGAGGGTATCAATGCAAGATGGAAGTCCATCTGAGCATGCTGAGCAGCAGATTGACAAAATTGAATAAATTCTAGCAAAACAAGTCCAGCTGGATGATTCTTCTATATCATCATCAGCTCGATGATTCTACTACATCATCACTTGGTATTGGGAATGGTCAATATTGTTGACCACTATCAATATCAAGTAGGAATATACAGGATTTCGGATCCTGTAATTTTACGAAATCCATGAATTGATGTCTTCTACTGATGTTCTTTCTCAATTACATAAAAACATATTTTTTATTTAAACTATTTCTATTTTATTTTTTTTATTTAAGTTTGTTGTAAATTAAATTTACTCTAGCAGTCAAGCCTCATTGTTGTTTTACAAAATTGTTGTTTTACATCTTTTTTACAAATTGTCCAGCAACTTCAACTTTTTTCTCTACTCTTGCTTTAAAGTATAATTGCAAGAAATTGGTGTTGTCTGTTGCTCACGGCTGTTTCACTCAATATTAAAATGAGCCTGAGGTCACAAGTTTATCAAAAAAAAAAGCATTTCTGAATAAAAAATATAAAAATTTGCTAACTTTAAAATAAATAAAGTACTTTTTTCTATAAGGATTTTATTTTTAAATAACAAAAATATAAAAGATCTATCTTTTCTTGTTAAATAAATAATTACATTAAACGGAATAAAAATAAGTAATGTTAAAATATTGCCTATGATTTGGTGATCACTTTTCTATTTTTTGCGATATTTAAAAAAAACCTGGCTTGGGACAACTAAATGGTCTGACAGCTACGTTAAAGTTTGTAAAAGTTTTAACGTAGCTTCGTAACTTTTATTAAAGGATAAATTTGTCGTAAATTTTATTAAAGGATTTCAATTTGATAATTTGGTGCCGTATGCAAAAAATTTACGATTTTTACAAAATTGTAAATTTTTTGCATAGGGCACCAAATTATCGAAATTGAAATCCTTTATACATATGATAATCAAAAAATTATTTTCTGTATCTCTAGTTATGTCAGACCATGTCTCATGTCCATGTCTAGGTCTTCAAACTTGGCTGGTTTATAACATTTTTTCTATTTTTTTGCGTAAATTTACATTTTCAAAACAATCATGTGACCTTATATATTTTACAAGTACAAAAATTGCGATTTGCTTTACTGACATAAACCATGCCAATGTTTATGTCAGTAAAGCAAATCACAATTGCCGCAAATAAATTTCTTCTTAAGTTAAAATGGTCTTACAATGTGTATAATTAATATTAAATATCTAAAATATACTTTTTCAATTTTTTTTTTTTGATAAAAAGTGACAACCAATTACTAAGATTTAGTCAAGTTTATCATTTGGCGCGTTTTTATCTAAAAATGAAAATAAATTTTAATCAATCATTTAATGTCATATGATAAAACGTTTTATTGGTGTTTATATTCTTTTTACAGAACATAATTATTTTTAATATTTTAAAAGTTTAAAAAGTTTTAGTAACACCTACTAAGTGATTATTTAAAAAAAAAAACAAGAAGCCGTAATGCTCACTTTGAAATAGCCTGTGCTGAGGTTTATTGTTCTCAGATTATTAAAAATAACAAAAAATAAATTTTTTTCTAAAAACTTTAATATAATCCTAAAAAAGAAAAGTCAGCTCTCACACATGGATCAGATCTTATTACCTCTTTCTAAGCATCCGTCAATAGACTTTTTGAACTTAAACTAGCATATACTTTCTTTTAGTCTTTTAATATTTGTAAATAATAGTTACTTTTTTTTTTTTTTTTTTAATTTTATTTTTTGTTGAGAATTTTATGTTTTTTAGATTGACTAGTTTGTCAATGGAGTGACATCTAAAAACATCTATTGACTAGTTTGTAACTATATGAGTGACACCTAATTAGATGTCACTCATATAGTTACAAACAAGTCAATAGATGTTTTTTAGATGTCACTCCATTGACAAACTAGTCAATCAAGTGACATCTAAAAAACATAAAATTCTCAAAAAAAGGGGGAAAAAAAAAAAATAGATAAAAAATATATATATAAATAAAAGAGAAAAAAAGATAAGATTGTTAAACAAATAATATTAATTTATGTAATAGTTGTAGTAATAATACAAAATAATAAGAATAATAATAAAGTATCAATAATGTTAAGAATAATACAGAATAAATTGTATGTACTTATCATAGATAATAACTAAATATAATAATAACATAAAATGGAGCAATAAAAACACAATAAATAAATATAATATAGATAAATAATGAATAAAGCAAAAGTCAAACCACTCATTCGTTAAAGAAATTATATATCAAAGACAACTATAATACAGAGAGAATTTATAAAGAAATACACTCTAACAATATATTTTTAAATTGTTGTTTTAAGAAAAACTTACCATATTTAATTGTGTTGAAAAAAGAAGAATATAGCTTACTATTTTCTGTGATGATTATCAATTTCATTTTTTTTTTTTTTGTTTGTTAATTCACCTCCTCAAAGCCGAGAGAGCCACTACAGACGAGGAGGCTACTTATTTGTGGTTATAACTCTCTCTCAACTCAATAACTCCAAAACAGGAACCTTGGCAAACAAGGTCACTGCACGGAGAAACGAGTTAAGCACAGTACTACCAGGGATGTGGTGGGAATTGAACTCGGAACCTCTCGCTTATAAAGCGAGCGCTCAACCACTACACCAGTAGCGCTTATTTATTTAGGAACATAATAACAAATTAGAGAAAGCATACTGTTAGATCATGTAAGTTTCTTTTTAAGATGATATAGTTAATTATACCAAGGTTTTCGTCAAGATTTGTTAATTTAAATACTATCAATAGTTTTTTGATGGGAAATAATTTATGATGGGATATGAGTTATATGTAGGATATGGAGGATATGAACTCTCAAATTAATGTTTAAAAGACTTCTTATACCATCCCATGTAGGTTTCAAATTTTTGGCGTCATCAGAGAAAAACTTAGAGTAATGGTTCTTTTTACTATGACGATTATGAGATTAACAAGTAAGTTTCTATATGTTTTATAAGATTTTTCTTGATTGAGTTTGTTATTAGGATTGTTTGTTTTAAGAAATTTGTTAAATATTTTATTTTGTATTTTGATTAAAGTCAAGATTCCTTTTGTTATCCAAGGTTTGAGGCCCCGTGAGAAGCAGCGATTGCTGACTATTTTTAATAATGTATGTTTATCTAAAAGAGCATTGAAACTTGTGAAAAACTCATCAAATGATTTGTTAGTCCTTCATTGACATTGATTACATTAGTCAAGCTAATTTTTGAGAAATCACTACATAACAACTTTTTTTTTTTTTAATTTCGACAGATGCATCTTATATGAGAATTAATATCTAAATTTGGTTTTATAAAATGGATGTATTTAAAATTGGGGTAAATGATCTGATACCGTAAAAGTAACATTACCGGCAAAAATATTTGTAGAAGTTGCATTAAAATATATGTTATCAATTAGAGTTTTTGAGTGATTCGTGATTTTTGTTAACAATGAAAAAAACGGAAGAAAGTTATTTAAAGCAATAGTTTATAAAAATTGGAAAAAACTGTCTGATAACAAGCATTATTATATTTAACAACTCCTTATTAGAAATAACTGTCAAATAAAATAAATAAAATCAAATCCAATGAAATCCACTTGTACTTGAATCTCCTGTGTCGTGGAATTTTCTTGTGTGACATCATCAGTGCGCATGTGTTATTTGCTTGTAGATGAACTAGTCGTTACAGTGGTATTTGTATTAGCATTACCAGAAGTAGCCGATACGCATACGTTTACCTTAATATTTGAGTTTTGCATTTTTATATATACAAGATAATTATTTATAAATTAACGCTAATGAATCGCGTTATTCACGCTTGCGCTATGATAATTTACCACAGAGTATTTATAATACTCTGAAAGTCATATCCTTCATCTAGTTTTTTTAAGACGTAGAGACACAAGTGTCCACAAAATAAAGTGTCTCCGAACTGAACTCTTTCACTATTATAATAGGTTGGACTTATTAAATAATTACATACATTATTGTCTTACTTAAATCTAGGATGCACATACCCAAGTAAATGGGTTTGTTATAAATGAGTTCTGTTCTTTCCATATGAATAGCTATTAAGTTTTCATCATATATACTCCTACTTTCATAGTTTGGTTTAGATGCTAATTTAATAGCTTCTTCTCTTTTAGTGATTAACCTGACATCAACTCTGTTTTCAATGTTCTCCATTGTTTTTCCAAATACAGAATTATTCATGAGTTTAAAAAAGTCTTTTTCAAAGTCATTAGTAGCTTTTGTTCTCAAATTTGTATTGAGCTCAATGTACTTACTTAGCCATGCACTCTCTTCAAACTTTATTCCTCTATGAATTTTAGTCAATTTCAATCCTAATCTTTCATAAAATTTCAAATTTTCATAATGAATGATATAATTTTTCTTGTGATTCAAATTGGGTACTAATCTTTTTTAGTCAATTTTTAATCTCTCAGGAGCAAGTGGATAATCATTATGAGCATCATGTAGATTTTCAGGATATTCTAAATCTACTTCAAATATACACGAAGTTACATCTGAAACATTGTATAAATTATGATAATATCTAAAGGTTTTACAATTAAACTCTTTCCATACAGTTTGTGCATGTGAGTAATCTTCATCACTAATATTTTCATCATTTAATCTTGAATAAAATGATTCTTTTGATGGCAATTGCGTTTCATTTAATTTACTAATAGAATCAACCCATTCATAAGGATAAACACCTTTTCTTAATAATAAATATAGTTTACTACCTGAATATAATTTTCCAATATTTTTACATTGATCTTTTTTTAGATTTTTAGATAAGCTATCTTAACTAGAAGCCATAAATCTATAACTATCAACAAGTTTTAGTTTAACTTCAATAACTTTATTTTCTTTTTTAGTAAATTCACTAACTTTAATTTCTTTAGAAAAGCTGATATACTTTTCTTCATTATTAGAAATGCAATTTAATTTTCCTTCTGACAATTTCTTTATGAACAAGTGACAATCATAACCAGTTAAATTTTGAATAGTACTGGAATGAATTTTGGAATTTTAAATTGTAAATTATAATCTTTATGAGCAGCTCCTCTATATTTACCAGTAATATGACAATGATCTCTTACTTTATCTTCTTTTAATAATTTTTCACATATGTGACATACTTTTGCATTATTAAAATTTTCTTTGTCTTCAGGTGTAATAAGTGTTGTAAATCTTCTTAATATCTGCTTCTAATCTATCAACAAAAATTTGTGCAACATCATCTTCTTCACTATTTGCAGTGAATGTGACTGGTTTGCTTTTATATACACTTTCATCAAAACATTTGATATAGTAACAAAATAAACTTGGTGTATGCCTTTGATATTGTTTTGTATAGGAGTTATTTGGATTGGGTGTACAAGTGTTGATAGGTGTAATAATACTTTCAAAGTCAGCATAGACTACAAAGGGTACTCTCATAGATTTTTTAAAATGATTAAATTAATAATTGTGTTAGGTTTTGGAAGTTCAATACGCACTGAATTATGAGTGTCACAATAAGATTTGTGCTTAGATAGACATTCTTCAGTATTAAATCCTAATAAGAAATTTCTACAATAGTGTGTAGTACATTTATGGTTAGATGTTTGTGATGAAAGTAATCTGCTTAAACTTTTTATTAGGCAATAATGATTAGTTTCATCATTTGAAATGAGTAATAAATCTATTTGATGTTGTCTGTTTTTATTTTCAGATATTCGTAAAGGATAAACTGAACTTTCGTATCTAAATACATTAACACTTATGTTTTGCTTATTTTTCTCAAATTGAGTAATTTGATGGAGTGACACTGGGAATTCTATTTTTTCCCAATTTAATTTATTAGCTTGTTCTTTTAGATCTTTATTTACTCTTTCAGAATTTTTTTCTTTAGTATTAAAAAATCTAGCAACACACCACTTAAAGCATTCATTGTCTTCATTTTTAATATTATTGATTGCTTTTTTAGCTGCTAACTCTTTAGGAAGAGGAATGTAAGATTTACCTTTAATAGGTTTATATTCGATCATATTCATATCCATCTTTTTAACTGATACAAATCTCCAACTTGATCCTAATTGTTGAAATATAAATAATAACTCTAAAATTTTATTTTTAGCTCTTTCATAGAGTTCATTTAAATCTGTTGATTCTATAACAACTTCTGCTTTTGTTGAAAATGATGCAATAGTTGTTATAGTTTCTCCTGTTTTAAGATCAGTTCTTTCCATTTCACATGATAGAACAATATAGATCTTTGATCCTTTATTGTTATTTAGTATTTGAATGATATTATTTTTAGCTGATTATATATAAAGGATAAATCATCATATCCTTTAACACCTTTAGCTGAAAATTGCTTTGTCACATTTTTAATAGCTGATTGTGTCAATTTAAATTCTATTTGTTTCTTTTCTCTCTTCTTTTCTTTTTTAGATTCTTTTTTAGGTTTTTTAACATGTTCACTTTTAAATCCTACTTTTTCATACAAATTAGAAACTGTAGATTTTAATGTATTAATTTGCGTAGTAGCTATTTCTTTAATAGGATTAGAAATATATGACATAACCCAATTTGTTAATGAATTGATTTTATTAAAAAATCTATTAGTAATATTTGCCATTTTATATACAAAAGAAAATTACTTATCTTATTTTCAATTTTTCATTTTTTCTTGTAAAGAAATTAAAATAAAAAAAACTAAAAAATTTCTTTTCATATTTTTATAGATATAAAAAGTTTATAAAAATAACTTTTTAAAAGTAATTGTTCTACATTTTCTTTTGCATCATCTATTTTAGAATTTATTGCTTCTATTTTTATACCATTTTCAACTTTTCCATTATGCGACTCTAAATAACTATATCCATGTTTTTCCTTTCTGATATAATCATATATAGAATTGCATATTTTAACTTCTCCTGTTTCTACATTAGTTAGTTTAATAGATGCTGGATTTGTTCTAATTTTTGTCAGTCTGTCATATTTAGGATCTCTTTTTTTTTCTCTTTTATTGGATATTTTCTCGGCCTTCCTACTGGTTTTTTTTCTACTTTTACTTTTTCTTCTTTAACTTTTTTTACTTTTTTAATTTTTAGTTTTTTTGGTTTTTTAGTAATGATATTTGATTGTATAGATTTTTTATCAATTAAATTATTATTCATAGCAATCATAACTAATGCAATGTGATCTTTAGATGTTTGTTGTATTTTATTTTATTTTAGTAATTTTAATAAATACTTTTTTAAATATTTTATTTTAATGTGATCTTTAGATGTTTGTTGTATTTTATTTTATTTTAGTAATTTTAATAAATACTTTTTTGTATATTTTATTTTATCACTCATTGTTATATAACAAAGAAAATTAATTTAAATTACTTTCAAATAATTTAAATTGTTATGTTTTTCTTGTATTTTTTAAAAAATATAACACATTTTTAAACCTTTACAAATCTTCTTTCTAATCTTCTTAATTCTAATTCTGCTTCTACTACTAGTTTTAAATCGTTTTCCAATTTTATTGCTTCTATTCTTTCTTCTAACTCTTCGTAATCTTTTTGTTTTTGTTTTTTCTTTTTTCTTTTTTTTAATTATCTTCGCTCCCAACAAGGCTGCAAGCAACCACTAATTAGTGTTGGAAGTTACTGGAAGAAAAAAGATGAAGATTGGTGAGCAAGATAACGATTGACAGATGACTTAGAAGATTGCAAATTATATGAATCAGGAAAGCAAGATAAAGGAAGCGAATTCCAAAGAACTGATGTTTGAGGAAAAAAACTAGACGAATAAGAGTTTTTAGAGCACTTAGGAACAGTAACAGAAAAAGGATGAGACTTGATTGAATGGGGAGTAACACGATAATGAATTTTAGTAGATGGCACAAGAGACGCTAGCTCCTTCGAGCAGTGCCCATTATAGTATTTGTAGAAAAGAGAAAGAG